TTGATTGGATTCTCAGGCGGTTTTGATTGGATTCTCAGGCGGTTTTGATTGGATTCTCAGGCGGTTTTGATTGGATTCTCAGGCGGTTTTGATTGGATTCTCAGGCGGTTTTGATTGGATTCTCAGGCGGTTTTGATTGGATTCTCAGGCGGTTTTGATTGGATTCTCAGGCGGTTTTGATTGGATTCTCAGGCGGTTTTGATTGGATTCTCAGGCGGTTTTGATTGGATTCTCAGGCGGTTTTGATTGGATTCTCAGGCGGTTTTGATTGGATTCTCAGGCGGTTTTGATTGGATTCTCAGGCGGTTTTGATTGGATTCTCAGGCGGTTTTGATTGGATTCTCAGGCGGTTTTGATTGGATTCTCAGGCGGTTTTGATTGGATTCTCAGGCGGTTTTGATTGGATTCTCAGGCGGTTTTGATTGGATTCTCAGGCGGTTTTGATTGGATTCTCAGGCGGTTTTGATTGGATTCTCAGGCGGTTTTGATTGGATTCTCAGGCGGTTTTGATTGGATTCTCAGGCGGTTTTGATTGGATTCTCAGGCGGTTTTGATTGGATTCTCAGGCGGTTTTGATTGGATTCTCAGGGGGTTTTGATTGGATTCTCAGGCGGCTTTGATTGTATTCTCAGGGGGTTTTGATTGGATTCTCAGGCGGCTTTGATTGGATTCTCAGGCGGCTTTGATTGGATTCTCAGGCGGCTTTGATTGGATTCTCAGGCGGCTTTGATTGGATTCTCAGGCGGCTTTGATTGGATTCTCAGGCGGCTTTGATTGGATTCTCAGGCGGTTTTGATTGGATTCTCAGGCGGTTTTGATTGGATTCTCAGGCGGTTTTGATTGGATTCTCAGGCGGTTTTGATTGGATTCTCAGGCGGTTTTGATTGGATTCTCAGGCGGTTTTGATTGGATTCTCAGGCGGTTTTGATTGGATTCTCAGGCGGTTTTGATTGGATTCTCAGGCGGTTTTGATTGGATTCTCAGGCGGTTTTGATTGGATTCTCAGGCGGTTTTGATTGGATTCTCAGGCGGTTTTGATTGGATTCTCAGGCGGTTTTGATTGGATTCTCAGGCGGTTTTGATTGGATTCTCAGGCGGTTTTGATTGGATTCTCAGGCGGTTTTGATTGGATTCTCAGGCGGTTTTGATTGGATTCTCAGGCGGTTTTGATTGGATTCTCAGGCGGTTTTGATTGGATTCTCAGGCGGTTTTGATTGGATTCTCAGGCGGTTTTGATTGGATTCTCAGGCGGTTTTGATTGTATCCTCAGGCGGTTTTGATTGGATTCTCGGGCGGTTTTGATTGGATTCTCGGGCGGTTTTGATTGGATTCTCGGGCGGTTTTGATTGGATTCTCAGGCGGTTTTGATTGGATCCTCAGGCGGTTTTGATTGGATCCTCAGGCGGTTTTGATTGGATTCTCAGGCGGTTTTGATTGGATTCTCAGGCGGTTTTGATTGGATTCTCAGGCGGTTTTGATTGGATTCTCAGGCGGTTTTGATTGGATTCTCAGGCGGTTTTGATTGGATTCTCAGGCGGTTTTGATTGGATTCTCAGGCGGTTTTGATTGGATTCTCAGGCGGTTTTGATTGGATTCTCAGGCGGTTTTGATTGGATTCTCAGGCGGTTTTGATTGGATTCTCAGGCGGTTTTGATTGGATTCTCAGGCGGTTTTGATTGGATTCTCAGGCGGTTTTGATTGGATTCTCAGGCGGTGTTGATTGGATTCTCAGGCGGTTTTGATTGGATTCTCAGGCGGTTTTGATTGGATTCTCAGGCGGTTTTGATTGGATTCTCAGGCGGTTTTGATTGGATTCTCAGGCGGTTTTGATTGGATTCTCAGGCGGTTTTGATTGGATTCTCAGGCGGTTTTGATTGGATTCTCAGGCGGTTTTGATTGGATTCTCAGGCGGTTTTGATTGGATTCTCAGGCGGTTTTGATTGGATTCTCAGGCGGTTTTGATTGGATTCTCAGGCGGTTTTGATTGGATTCTCAGGCGGTTTTGATTGGATTCTCAGGCGGTTTTGATTGGATTCTCAGGCGGTTTTGATTGGATTCTCAGGCGGTTTTGATTGGATTCTCAGGCGGTTTTGATTGGATTCTCAGGCGGTTTTGATTGGATTCTCAGGCGGTTTTGATTGGATTCTCAGGCTGTTTTGATTGGATTCTCAGGCGGTTTTGATTGGATTCTCAGGCGGTTTTGATTGGATTCTCAGGCGGTTTTGATTGGATTCTCAGGCGGTTTTGATTGGATTCTCAGGCGGTTTTGATTGGATTCTCAGGCGGTTTTGATTGGATTCTCAGGCGGTTTTGATTGGATTCTCAGGCGGTTTTGATTGGATTCTCAGGCGGTTTTGATTGGATTCTCAGGCGGTTTTGATTGGATTCTCAGGCGGTTTTGATTGGATTCTCAGGCGGTTTTGATTGGATTCTCAGGCTGTTTTGATTGGATTCTCAGGCGGTTTTGATTGGATTCTCAGGCGGTTTTGATTGGATTCTCAGGCGGTTTTGATTGGATTCTCAGGCGGTTTTGATTGGATTCTCAGGCGGTTTTGATTGGATTCTCAGGCGGTTTTGATTGGATTCTCAGGCGGTTTTGATTGGATTCTCAGGCGGTTTTGATTGGATTCTCAGGCGGTTTTGATTGGATTCTCAGGCGGTTTTGATTGGATTCTCAGGCGGTTTTGATTGGATTCTCAGGCGGTTTTGATTGGATTCTCAGGCGGTTTTGATTGGATTCTCAGGCGGTTTTGATTGGATTCTCAGGCTGTTTTGATTGGATTCTCAGGCGGTTTTGATTGGATTCTCAGGCGGTTTTGATTGGATTCTCAGGCTGTTTTGATTGGATTCTCAGGCGGTTTTGATTGGATTCTCAGGCGGTTTTGATTGGATTCTCAGGCTGTTTTGATTGGATTCTCAGGCGGTTTTGCCTCTCCATGGTTGGAGAAACCGCTTTGCGAATGGAGCGGTCCGAGTGTCCATTCATCTTGACGCCGGGAGACACGGGGGGGAGACACGGGGGGAGACACGGGGGGAGACCCTGCGTCTCCCCCCGTGTCTCCCCGTGTCTCTCTCATGCCCCCCCCGTGTCAAAGTTTACAACCTCGCCCCCCCCCCCCCCACCCTCCCCCCCCCCCCGTGCCCCCCAGGGCCAGGGGTCAGAGTTCACTGCGGACTGCTGGTACGAGGGGAGCTGGGAGAGAGGCCAGCGGAGCGGCTGGGGGAGGGCGCGGTACCGGAACGGCGGCCTCTACCACGGGGAGTGGAGGCACGGGAAGCCCTGGGGACAGGGCGTGATGCACTACCGTAGGTCACCACGCGGGGGGAGACGCGGGGAGACACGGGGAGACACGGGGGAGACACGGGGAGACACGGGGGAGACACGGGGAGACACGGGGAGACACTGGGGAGACACGGGGAGACACGGGGAGAGACACGGGGAAACACGGTGAGACACTGGGGAGACATGGGGAGACACGGGGAGAGACCCTGGAGAGACATGGGGAGACACGGGGAGAGACCCTGGAGAGACACGGGGAGACACGGGGAGACAAGGGCAGGGGAGACACGGGGAGACACTGGGGAGACACGGGGAGACACGGTGAGGCACTGGGGAGACACGGGGAGGGGAGACACGGGGAGAGACAGGGAGAGACCCTGGGGAGACACGGGGAGACAGGGAGAGTCACGGGAAGCCCTGGGGACAGGGCGTGATGCACTACCGTAGGTCACCACGCGGGGGAGACGCGGGGAGACACGGGGAGGGGAGACATGGGGAGACACGGGGAGAGACCCTGGGGAGACACGGGGAGAGACCCTAGGGAGACACGGGGAGACACGGGGGGGGGGGGGGGGGGAGACACGAGGAGAGACCCTGGGGAGACACGGGGAGACACTGGGGAGACACGGGGAGAGACCCTGGGGAGACAGGGAGAGTCACGGGAAGCCCTGGGGACAGGGCGTGATGCACTACCGTAGGTCACCACGCTGGGGGAGACGCGGGGAGACACGGGGGGGTGGACGGGGAGACACGGGGAGACACGGGGAGGGGAGACATGGGGAGACAAGGGGAGACACGGGGGGGGGGGGGGAGAGACACGGGGAGACACTGGGGAGACACGGGGGGGGGAGACATGGGGAGACACGGGGAGAGACCCTGGGGAGACATGGGGAGACATGGAGAGACACTGGGGAGACACGGGGAGACACGGGGAGACACGGGGAGACATGGGAGAGACACTGGGGAGACACGGGGAGACAGGGAGAGACACTGGGGAGACACGGGGAGACACGGGGAGACACCGGGAGACACGGGGAGACATGGGAGAGACACGGAGAGACACGGTGAGACACTGGGGAGACACGGGGAGACAGGGAGAGACACTGGGGAGACACGGGGAGACAGGGAGAGACACTGGGGAGACACGGGGAGACACGGGGAGACACGGGGAGACATGGGAGAGACACGGGGAGACAGGGAGAGACACTGGGGAGACACGTGGAGACACTGGGGAGACACGTTGAGACACTCGGGAGACACGGGGAGAGACACGGGGAGAGACACGGGGAGAGACACGGGGAGAGACACTGGGGAGACACGGAGAGAGACAGGGGAGGAGAGACAAGGGGAGAGACACGTGGAGAGACACGGGGAGAGACACGGGGTGAGACACGGGGGAGACACGGGGGAGACTGTGGGAGACGCACGTGGAGAGACGCACGTGGACAGGGCGTGCTGCGCTCACGCATCCCCCCCCTCCCCCCTCCGTGTGTGTGTGTGGGCAGCTGAGGCCAGCAGCAGCAGTAGCAGCATCAGTAGCAGCAGCAGCAGGGGCAGCTGGTACGAGGGAGGCTGGCAGGGAGGTGACCGCCACGGCCCAGGGTCGCTCCACGTGCCCCAGAGGGGCCTGGTGCTCAGGGGCACGTGGGCACTGGGGCAGCCTCGCTGCGGCACCTGGGAGCACGAGGAGGGGCTGGCGGGGGAGGAGGAGGGTGAGGAGGTGGGGGAGGGGGAGGAGGGGGAGGAGGAGGCAGTCGAACCGGGCCGACCGCCCTTGCAGATGCCCAGAGTGAGCCGCGCCGCTGCCCGCGATGTCCTGGCGTGGTGTCCTGGTGTGTGTCCTGGTGTGTGTCACGGTGTGTGTCCTGGTGTGTGTCCTGGTGTGTGTCCTGGTGTGTGTCACGGTGTGTGTCCTGGTGTGTGTCCTGGTGTGTGTCCTGGTGTGTGTCCTGGTGTGTGTTCCTGGTGTGTGTCCTGGTGTGTGTCCTGGTGTGTGTCCTGGTGTGTGTCACGGTGTGTGTCACGGTGTGTGTCCCTGGTGTGTGTCCTGGTGTGTGTCCTGGTGTGTGTCCTGGTGTGTGTTCCTGGTGTGTGTCCTGGTGTGTGTCACGGTGTGTGTCCTGGTGTGTGTCCTGGTGTGTGTCCCTGGTGTGTGTTCTTTGTGTGTCCTGGTGTGTGTCCTGGTGTGTGTCCTGGCGTGTGTCCTGGTGTGTGTCCTGGTGTGTTCCTGGTGTGTGTCCTGGTGTGTGTCATGGCGTGTGTCCTGGTGTGTGTCCTGGTGTGTGTCACGGTGTGTGTCCTGGTGTGTGTCCTGGTGTGTGTCACGGTGTGTGTCCTGGTGTGTGTCCTGGTGTGTGTCCTGGTGTGTGTCCTGGTGTGTTCCTGGTGTGTGTCCTGGTGTGTGTCCTGGTGTGTGTCCTGGTGTGTTCCTGGTGTGTGTCCTGGTGTGTGTCCTGGTGTGTGTTCCTGGTGTGTGTCCTGGTGTGTGTCCTGGTGTGTGTTCCTGGTGTGTGTCCTGGTGTGTGTCCTGGTGTGTGTCCTGGTGTGTGTCCTGGTGTGTGTCCTGGTGTGTGTCCTGGTGTGTGTCACGGTGTGTGTCCTGGTGTGTGTCCTGGTGTGTGTCCTGGTGTGTGTCACGGTGTGTGTCACGGTGTGTGTCCTGGTGTGTGTCCTGGTGTGTTCCTGGTGTGTGTCCTGGTGTGTGTCCTGGTGTGTGTCACGGTGTGTGTCACGGTGTGTGTCCTGGTGTGTGTCCTGGTGTGTGTCCTGGTGTGTGTCACGGTGTGTGTCACGGTGTGTGTCCTGGTGTGTGTCCTGGTGTGTTCCTGGTGTGTGTCCTGGTGTGTGTCCTGGTGTGTGTCCTGGTGTGTGTCTTGGTGTGTGTCCTGGTGTGTGTCCTGGTGTGTGTCCTGGTGTGTGTCCTGGTGTGTGTCCTGGTGTGTGTCCTGGTGTGTTGTCCTGGTGTGTGTCCTGGTGTGTGTCCTGGTGTGTGTCCTGGTGTGTGTCCTGGTGTGTGTCCTGGTGTGTGTCCTGGTGTGTGTCCTGGTGTGTGTCCTGGTGTGTGTTCCTGGCGTGTGTCCTGGTGTGTGTCCTGGTGTGTTCCTGGTGTGTGTCCTGGTGTGTTCCTGGTGTGTTCCTGGTGTGTGTCCTGGTGTGTGTCCTGGTGTGTGTCCTGGTGTGTGTCCTGGTGTGTTCCTGGTGTGTGTCCTGGTGTGTTCCTGGTGTGTGTCCTGGTGTGTGTCCTGGTGTGTGTCCTGGTGTGTTCCTGGTGTGTGTCCTGGTGTGTGTCACGGTGTGTGTCCTGGTGTGTGTCCTGGTGTGTGTCCTGGTGTGTGTCCTGGTGTGTGTCCTGGTGTGTGTCCTGGTGTGTGTCCTGGTGTGTGTCCTGGTGTTTGTCCTGGTGTGTGTCCTGGTGTGTGTCCTGGTGTGTGTCTTGGTGTGTGTCCTGGTGTGTGTCCTGGTGTGTGTCCTGGTGTGTGTCCTGGTGTGTGTCCTGGTGTGTGTCCTGGTGTGTGTCCTGGTGTGTGTCCTGGTGTGTGTTCCTGGTGTGTGTCCTGGTGTGTGTCCTGGTGTGTTCCTGGTGTGTGTCCTGGTGTGTTCCTGGTGTGTGTCCTGGTGTGTGTCCTGGTGTGTGTTCCTGGCGTGTGTCCTGGTGTGTGTCCTGGTGTGTGTCCTGGTGTGTGTCCTGGTGTGTGTCCTGGTGTGTGTCCTGGTGTGTGTCCTGGTGTGTGTTCCTGGCGTGTGTCCTGGTGTGTGTCCTGGTGTGTTCCTGGTGTGTGTCCTGGTGTGTTCCTGGTGTGTGTCCTGGTGTGTGTCCTGGTGTGTGTCCTGGTGTGTGTCCTGGTGTGTTCCTGGTGTGTGTCCTGGTGTGTTCCTGGTGTGTGTCCTGGTGTGTGTCCTGGTGTGTGTCCTGGTGTGTTCCTGGCGTGTGCCCTGCCCACTCGCTCCGCTCACTGCCGGTGCCCACAGCGCACACGGGGTGTGAGGGTGGGTGAGTGAGTGGGTGAGTGAGTGAGTGGGTGAGTGAGTGAGTGGGTGAGTGAGTGAGTGGGTGAGTGAGTGGGTGAGTGGGTGAGTGAGTGAGTGAGTGGGTGAGTGAGTGGGTGAGTGGGTGAGTGGGTGAGTGAGTGAGTGAGTGGGTGAGTGAGTGGGTGAGTGGGTGAGTAAGTGGGTGAGTGAGTGGGTGAGTGAGTGAGTGAGTGGGTGAGTGAGTGGGTGAGTGGGTGAGTGGGTGAGTGGAAGGGTGAGTGAGTGGGTGAGTGAGTGGAAGGGTGAGTGAGTGAGTGGAAGGGTGAGTGAGTGGGTGAGTGAGTGAGTGAGTGGAAGGGTGAGTGAGTGAGTGAGTGGATGGGTGAGTGAGTGGGTGAGTGAGTGGGTGAGTGAGTGGGTGAGTGGGTGAGTGAGTGGGTGAGTGGGTGGGTGAGTGAGTGAGTGAGTGGGTGAGTGAGTGAGTGGAAGGGTGAGTGAGTGAGTGGGTGAGTGAGTGAGTGGAAGGGTGAGTGGGTGAGATAGTAAGGGAGTAAGTGTGATAGTGGGAGAGTGTGTGGGAGAGTGAGTGTAAGGGTGAGTGAGATAGTGAGAGGGTGGGAGAGTGGGTGAGTGGGAGAGTGGGTGGGTGAGTGAGTGGGTGGGTGAGTGAGAGAGTGGGAGAGTGGGTGGGTGAGATAATGTGAGAGTGAGTGAGTGAGAGAGTGGGTGGGAGAGTGGGTGGGTGAGTGAGTGGGAGAGTGAGTGAGATAGTGGGTGAGTGAGTGAGAGGGTGGGTGGGTGAGTGAATGAGTGAGAGGGTGGGTGGATGGGTGAGTGGGAGAGTGGGTGGGTGAGTGAGTGAGTGGGAGATTGAGTTGGTGAATAAGTGGGAGAGTGAGTGGGTGAGTGAGTGAGTGAGATAGTAAGAGAGTAAGTGAGATAGTGGCAGAGTGGGTGAGTGAGTGAGTGAGAGGGAGAGTGAGTTGGTGAATCAGTGGGTGAGTGAGGTGAAGAGTAAGTGGGTGATTGAGTGGGAGAGTGAGTGAGTGGGTGAGATAGTGGGAGAGTGAGTGAGTGGGTGAGTGAGTGGGTGGGTGAGTGGAAGGGTGAGTGAGATAGTGGGAGAGTGGGTGGGTGAGTGGGTTTGTGAGTGAGTGAGAGGGTGGGTGAGTGAGTGAGTGGGAGAGTAAGTTGGTGAATAAGTGGGAGGGTGAGTGAGTTGGAGAGTGAGTGGGTGAGTGGAAGAGTGAGTGGGAGAGTGAGTGCGAGTGTGAGTGGGTGAGTGAGTGCGAGAGTGAGTGGGTGAGTGAGTGAGTGGGTGAGTGAGTGGGAGAGGGAGAGAGTGACATTGTTGTGGTTGTTAATGTTGTTGTGGTGGTTGTGAATGTTGTGGTTGTTAATGTTGGTGTTGTGGTTGTTGTTCATGATGTTGTTCATGTGGTTGATGTTCATGTGGTTGTTGTTAATGTTGTTGCGGTTGTTGTGGTTGTTGTTCCTGTGGTTGATGTTGTTGTGGTTGTTGTTCATGTGGTTGTGGTTGATGTTGTGGTTGTTGTACATGTGGTTGATGTTGTGGTTGTTGTTCATGTGGTTGTGGTTGATGTTGTTGTGGTTGTTGTACATGTGGTTGATGTTGTGGTTGTTGTTGTGGTTGTTAATGTTGTTGTGGTTGTTAATGTTGTTAATGTTGTTGTGGTTGTTGTTAATGTTGTTGTGGTTGTTGTTAATGTTGTTGTGGTTGTTGTTAATGTTGTTGTGGTTGTTGTTAATGTTGTTGTGGTTGTTGTTAATGTTGTTGTGGTTGCTGTTAATGTTGTTGAAATTGTTGTGGTTGTTGTTGACGTTGTTGTGGTTGTTGTTAATGTTGTTGTGGTTGTTGTTAATGTTCTTGTGGTTGTTAATGTTGTTGTGGTTGTTGTTAATGTTGTTGTGGTTGTTAATGTTGTTGTGGTTGTTGTTAATGTTGTTGTGTTTGTTGTGGTTGATGTTAATGTTATTGTGGTTGTTGTTAATGGTGTTGTGGTTGATGTTAATGTTGTTGTGGTTGTTGTTAATGTTGTTGTGGTTGTTAATGTTGTTGTGGTTGATGTTATTGTGGTTGTTGTTAATGGTGTTGTGGTTGATGTTAATGTTGTTGTAGTTGTTGTTAATGTTGTTGTGGTTGTTAATGTTGTTGTGGTTGTTGTTAATGTTGTTGTGTTTGTTGTGGTTGATGTTAATGTTGTTGTGTTGTTGAAGTTGGAGTTGCAGAATCCGGAGTTGGTTTTGAAGGAGGCGCTGGAGGAACTCAAACTGGAGTCCTGACCACCACAACAACAACAACCACCACAACAACAACAACAACCACAAAATAATCACAACATCGACAACCATTAACAACAATCACAATCACAACAACTACAACCACGACAACCACCACAACAACAATCACAACAACAATCACAATAACACCACAACAATCACAATAACACCACAACAACCATAACAATCACAATACCAACCACAGCATCTGCAACTACAACAACTACAACAACCACCAGAACAACCACAACCTCTGCTTAAATAAAGGACGAAAGTAACTAGACATGGTCTTTGAGTCTATGGGTCTCGATGTGGTGGTGAGTCTGTGTGTCTCTGTGTGGTGATGAGTCTATGGGTCTCTGTGTGGTGAGTCTATGGGTCTCTATGTGGTGGTGAGTCTATGGGTCTCTGTGTGATGAGTCTATGGGTCTCTGTGTGATGAGTCTGTGGGTCTCTGTGTGGTGGTGAGTCTGTGTGTCTCTGTGTGGTGATGAGTCTATGGGTCTCTGTGTGATGAGTCTATGGGTCTCTGTGTGGTGATGAGTCTATGGGTCTCTGTGTGATGATAAGTCTATGGGTCTCGATGTGGTGATGAGTCTATGGGTCTCTGTGTGGTGGTGAGTCTATGGGTCTCGATGTGGTGGTGAGTCTATGGGTCTCTATGTGGTGGTGAGTCTATGGGTCTCTGTGTGGTGAGTCTATGGGTCTCTATGTGGTGGTGAGTCTATGGGTCTCTGTGTGATGAGTCTATGGGTCTCTGTGTGATGAGTCTGTGGGTCTCTGTGTGGTGGTGAGTCTGTGGGTCTCTGTGTGGTGATGAGTCTATGGGTCTCTGTGTGGTGGTGAGTCTATGGGTCTCTGTGTGGTGGTGAGTCTATGGGTCTCTGTGTGGTGATGAGTCTATGGGTCTCTGTGTGGTGATGAGTCTATGGGTCTCTGTGTGATGAGTCTATGAGTCTCTGTGTGATGATGAGTCTGTGGGTCTCTGTGTGGTGATGAGTCTATGGGTCTCTGTGTGGTGGTGAGTCTATGGGTCTCTGTGTGGTGGTGAGTCTATGGGTCTCTGTGTGGTGATGAGTCTATGGGTCTCTGTGTGGTGATGAGTCTATGGGTCTCTGTGTGGTGGTGAGTCTATGGGTCTCTGTGTGGTGGTGAGTCTATGGGTCTCTGGTGGTGAGTCTATGGGTCTCTATGTGGTCTCTATGTGGTGGTGAGTCTATGGGTCTATGGGTCTCTGTGTGGTGCTAAGTCTATGGGTCTCTGTGTGGTGATGAGTCTATGGGTCTCGATGTGGTCGTGAGTCTATGGGTCTCTGTGTGATGATGAGTCTATGGGTCTCTATGTAGTGGTGAGTCTATGGGTCTCTGTGTGGTGGTGAGTCTATGGGTCTCTGTGTGGTGATGAGTCTATGGGTCTCTGTATGGTGATGAGTCTATGGGTCTCTGTGTGGTGATGAGTCTATGGGTCTCTGTGTGGTCATGAGTCTATGGGTCTCTGTGTGGTGGTGAGTCTATGGGTCGCTGTGTGGTGGTGAGTCTATGGGTCTCTGTGTGGTGGTGAGTCTATGAGTCTCTGTGTGGTGGTGAGTCTATGTGTCTCTGTGTGGTGATGAGTCTATGGGTCTCTGTGTGGTGATGAGTCTATGGGTCTCTGTGTGGTGGTGAGTCTGTGGGTCTCTGTGTGGTGATGAGTCTATGGGTCTCTGTGTGGTGGTGAGTCTATGGGTCTCTGTGTGTGATGAGTCTATGGGTCTCTGTGTGGTGATGAGTCTGGGTCTCTGTGTGGTGATGAGTCTTTGGGTCTCTGTGTGATGATGAGTCTATGGGTCTCTGTGTGATGATGAGTCTATGAGTCTCTGTGTGGTGGTGAGTCTGTGGGTCTCTGTGTGGTGATGAGTCTATGGGTCTCAGTGTGATGATGAGCCTATGGGTCTCTGTGTGGTGGTGAGTCTATGGGTCTCTGTGTGGTGGTGAGTCTATGGGTCTCTGTGTGGTCGTGAGTCTATGGGTCTCTGTGTGATGATGAGTCTATGGGTCTCTGTGTGTTGGTGAGTCTATGGGTCTCTGTGTGGTGGTGAGTCTATGGGTCTCTGTGTGATGATGAGTCTATGGGTCTCTGTGTGTTGGTGAGTCTATGGGTCTCTGTGTGATGATGCGTCTATGGGTCTCTGTGTGGTGATGAGTATATGGGTCTCTGTGTGATGCTGAGTCTATGGGTCTCTGTGTGATGATGAGTCTATGAGTCTCTGTGTGGTGGTGAGTCTGTGGGTCTCTGTGTGGTGATGAGTCTAATGGGTCTCTGTGTGGTGGTGAGTCTATGAGTCTCTGTGTGGTGGTGAGTCTATGTGTCTCTGTGTGGTGATGAGTCTATGGGTCTCTGTGTGGTGGTGAGTCTATGGGTCTCTGTGTGGTGGTGAGTCTATGGGTCTCTGTGTGGTGGTGAGTCTATGGGTCTCTGTGTGGTGATGAGTCTATGGGTCTCTGTGTGGTGGTGAGTCTGTGGGTCTCTGTGTGGTGATGAGTCTATGGGTCTCTGTGTGGTGGTGAGTCTATGGGTCTCTATGTGGTGGTGAGTCTATGGGTCTCTGTGTGTTGGTGAGTCTCTGGGTCTCTGTGTGTTGGTGAGTCTATGGGTCTCTGTGTGTTGGTGAGTCTATGGGTCTCTGTGTGATGATGAGTCTGGGTCTCTGTGTGGTGATGAGTCTATGGGTCTCTGTGTGGTGGTGAGTCTATGGGTCTCTGTGGTGATGAGTCTATGGGTCTCTGTGGTGATGAGTCTGTGGGTCTCTGTGTGGTGGTGAGTCTATGGGTCTCTGTGTGGTGATGAGTCTATGGGTCTCTGTGTGGTGGTGAGTCTATGGGTCTCTGTGTGGTGATGAGTCTATGGGTCTCTGTGTGGTGGTGAGTCTATGGGTCTCTGTGTGATGATGAGTCTATGGGTCTCTTTGTGGTGATGAGTCTATGAGTCTCTGTGTGTTGGTGAGTCTATGGGTCTCTGTGTGATGATGAGCCTATGGGTCTCTGTGTGATGACGAGTCTCTGTGTAGTGAGTCTATACCTCTCCGTGTGAACGTATCATCGTGGAAGAGGAGACCAAGTACACCTCCTTTATCGGCAGCGCCTCTGTATAGCGGCCTCTAGTGGAGGAGCGGGAGGCCCCTACTGCCACTGAGGCTTGCTTTAGGCACTTGCCGGGCTGAGCCTCTATCTCCTGGCTTCGGCCATTGGCGACGTGCAGGAGCGGGCGAGTGCCGCATTCATCAACATAAATTATGATAATGTAAGCACGCCATAGATATATAAATTATTTTAATCGGCCCCACGGCGCAGATATATAAATTATGTTAATGAGCCACACACCATGGATATTTACAATATGTTAATGTGCGCATTCATGTCCAGCTCGTGTCATTGCGAGTATGGGACTCTATGTGATGAGTCTGTGGGTCTCTGTGTGATGATGAGTCTATGGGTCTCTGTGTGGTGGTGAGTCTATGGGTCTCTGTGTGGTGAGTCTATGGGTCTTTATGTGGTGAGTCTGTGGGTCTCTGTGTGATAAGCCAATGGGTCTCTGTGCAGTGATGATTCTATGGGTCTCTGTGTGGTGATGAGTCTATGGGTCTCTGTGTGGTGATGAGTCTATGGGTCTCTGTGTGGTGTAGAGTCTATGGATCTCTGTGTGGTGAGTCTATGAGTCTCTGTGTGTGCTGAGTCTATGGGTATCTGTGTGGTGAGTCTATGGGTCTCTATGTGGTGAGTCTGTGGGTCTCTGTGTGGTGAAACAATGGGTCTCTGTGTGGTGATGAGTCTATGGGTCTCTGTGTGGTGAGTCTATGGGTCTCTATGTGGTGAGTCTGTGGGTCTCTGTGTGGTGGTGAGTCTATGGGTCTCGATGTGGTGGTGAGTCTATGGGTCTCTGTGTGGTGGTGAGTCTATGTGTCTCTATGTGGTGATGAGTCTATGGGTCTCTGTGTGATGATGATCTATGGGTCTCTGTGTGGTGGTGAGTCTATGGGTCTCTGTGTGGTGGTGAGCCTATGTGTCTCTGTGTGGTGATGAGGCTATGCGTCTCTGTGTGGGGAATCTATGGGTCTCTCTATGATGAATTTATGGGTTTCTATGTGGTGATGAGTCTGTGGGTCTCTGTGTGGTGATGATTGCAGCGTATCATCCACACTGCTGAGAAGGTAATTGCCGGCAATCTACCAACCCTCGAGGACCTGCACACGACAAGGACCAGGAGGCGAGCGAGGAGGAAGATTTGTGGCCGATTCCTCCCACCCTGGACACTCTCTGTTTCAGCTACTCCCCTCCGGCAGAAGGCTTCGGTCCATCAGGACCAAAACCTCACGCCATAAAAACAGATTCTTCCCATCTGCTGCTTGCCTGTTAAACAAGGCCAAGGGCTTACACTGATTTTAACATTTTATCTACATAATGACACCTTGCCGATATTAACTATGTTAACCTATTTGTATTTTTTATTTTTAAATTATATCTTAAAGCTATTTTATATTCGATATTTATTCAATTTGATATACTTCAGCACCTTGGTGTTAGCTAGACTTTTAACCCTTATTATTATAGTAAGACTTGTTTAAAACTTATTTAAGATTTTAGATTCCTATATGTTGAATGTATGCACCATCCTGCCAAAGTAAATTCCGTGTCGGTGTGAACTTTCATGGCGAATGAAACCCTTTCTGATAAAAAAACCCTTTCTGATTCTGATTCTATGGGTCTCTATGTGGTGGTGAGTCTATGGGTCTCTGTGATGAGTCTGTGGCACTAACAGCCTCCTCCACAGAGGCCGATCTTGACACCGCTGGTATCAGTCATCGGCAAGTCCACTCAGCTCCACGTCCTTCTGTACAACATCACTCCATCTCTTCTCTAGCCCGTGCCGCGCCCGTTTAGCTCCCTCGATCCGGCCGAACAAAAGCTGTTTCAGCATGCGGTATCTCGGCATGCGGGCTACATGACCCAGCCATCGCAGCCTTGCCTGCGGGAGGAGCTCACCGATCGGACTTTGTCCACATCTTT